CATGTAAAAAATCATTTTAAAGCAATATAAAACTGATTTAAAACATTCTGTTTTAAATCATTTGCCATCCCTAGCTCGAACCCGGCCGATATTTAACAAGTCCGATTTGTGTCTGTCCCGAATAATAGCGGGTTCAAAAATTATAAGCGCCCGCAAATTTCCGGGCTATCCACAAGTCAGTCCGTCGAATTGAGTCTCGAATGGGATTTTCTATTCCTGTCCGATAACTGATAATTTGCGAGAGAGACTTGCCATATTAGAAGTCAAGATTTTAATATACTTTCATTTGGCATTTCTAATAATGCGTAAGTTTATATCCATTACAAACTTTGATACAGCTAAACCTCTCTAAGTAAAAAAGGCAAACAGGCAAAAAGTGCACTTGAGTGGGTGTGCATTTAAGGATATTAAAAATTACAATTGTTATATTACAGTGAGACCTCTAAATATAAATGCATGACCTCTCTAAATGCACACTCAAGTTCCGGTCCGAACATATACATGATCTCCATAAATGCACTTTTCTCTTATTATTCTCTAAGTGCATTTTGTTAAAGTTTGGTGTATTTAGAGAGGCTTGACTGTATAATGTAATATACATAAATTGGCTAAAACTGTTCTAACTGTCTGTTATAAAACTGTCTCACCTAGCCATTAACTGTTCTAACAGTCTAACCGGTTATAAACTGTTCTAACGGTCTAGCTGTTATAAAACTGTTTAACCATTATAAAATTATTTTAATGGTCTAACCGTTATAAACCTGCTTTAACGGTCTAAGTATTATAAAACTGTTCTAACAGTCTATACTAACTGTCTGTTATAAAATTATTTTAACAGTCTAACCGTTATAAAACTGTTAACTGTTATAAAAATTTTTTAATGGTCTAACCGTCTAACGTTTATTTATCATAACATTGCTCTAACGGCTTAACTGTTAATAAACTATTCATTCGAATCAATTCGAATTCAAATTAAAAGTTCGAATTTAAAAATCAAGTTCGATTCCAATTTTTACGATCAAAATAATTTATTGCTCTAAAAATAAAATAAGAGTTTGACATTACTGCATTAGAAGAAAAAGTGAAATATGTCGTTGGTTAATAACAATGAACCTAATTGTAATGACCTAGCAATTGACATTCACAATCTTAATTTCAGTTTTGGAGGACCTCCTATTTTGACAAATCTGCATTTACAGTTAAAAAAGGGAAGCCGATGTTTATTAGTCGGTAGGTTCAAAACTGAATTTAGCGTTTCGTTAAAAAAGCATATACATTATTTAAATGTAATTGTTTTCACATTATGATAGACTTATGAATAAAATTTACTTTAGGCGCAAATGGGGCAGGTAAATCTACTTTATTGACAATATTGGCAGGAAAAAGAATGGTACGAGATAAAGTATCTGTTTTCGGGAAAGACGCATTTAAAGATGCTCCATCTGTACGTATATTTATTTCTTATTGAACTTCATGACATTTAAAGGTTCATTTTATTAATGATCATTATTTTAACATAGGGTATTACATATTTAGGGACTGAATGGGCAAATAATCCAGTTATTCGTGGTGATGTTTTAGTTGCCACGTTGTTGTCAAACATGAGTGGGGATAAATATTCTGAAAGACGAGATGAGTTAATAGAAATCATGGATATCAATCCAAAATGGCGCATGCATCAAGTATCTGACGGACAAAGACGCAGAGTACAATTTGTTTTAGGCTTACTAGAACCATGGGATCTGTTATTGATGGATGAAGTTACTGTTGACTTGGATGTATTGGTACGAACAGATCTGTTAAACTATCTAAGGAAAGAAACTGAAAAGAGGGGTGCCACGATAGTAAGTTATTAAAAAGAAATAGATCAATTTAAACAATACTATTCCAATTAACATTAATTTTTTTCAAACCAGATACATGCAACGCATATATTCGATGGTAAATATTCGTTAATATATTTAATGTACTAATGTACTTTATAAGGTATTCATTAATTCACTCATCTAATAACGAATATCATAGGACTCGGTGACTGGCCTACACATATCGCTCACATCAAACGTGGAACGATAGTATCATTCTACGATTTCAATAATTTTCCTGTGCATGACAAAATGATACATCAACAACTTCAAGTATGTTCTTACTATAATAATAAAGAGAATAAAGTTGACGATGGAACAGACCAACAATTATCATCACATCTAATTTCATATTTCCGTAAAAATATGAATTCACCGCTTTTAAAAATTGTTGAGCAATGGTTGAGAGAAGATTTACAGGAATTGAGGCTTCTTCAAGCTAAAGAAAGGAAAAAAGCCGATCAGGAACAGGATAAAATACTGTTGGGAGAAGAAACACCAAGAACAAAATGGGATAGTCTTTCAGAAAATGCAAATGTACATGGAGATAAATATTATAATTATTGGAATAAATAGTAATTATGCTTTAGTAATAGCAATTTTATTAAATGTATACTTGTTAAAAGAGTTTCTAAATTATTGCAAATTTAAAAATTAAAGTATTTAAGGGCGATGACAAATATTACGTAATATCTTGAGGGATAAAGGATATAGTAAAAAATATTACATAATATTTGTTATTATTCTAAACCAATTTAAAGAAAAACGTATTATTAAAGAGTTACCACAAGTAATTATTGTCGCGAACTAATATGAAATTAGATTAAAATAAAATGAAGAATTTTATTTAACTTTCTAAATCTACTTATCTTGTTTATTATAAATTTTATTTTAAAATGCAACTTTTAATTATAAAAAAAAATCAAAAAATATATTCAAAAAATTTAGTAAATTATCTATTTTGTTTTATATTTTAATTATTTTAATCTGTTATAATTATTATAATTTTTTATTTTTTATTTTTTATTTTGATAATCCTGCCTTTATTATTTTAATTGAAAATACCAAAAAATTAAATTTTGTGGTTGGCAATTTTGATATAATTTTCTATACTATCCCTTAAACTGTAAGCTTTTCCGGGCAAATTTGCCTGGAAAATTATCATAAATATACTTATGATCTATATTTTTTAATTTTTAAAATATTTAAATAAATTTTTTTTTGATAATATTTGAAAATAAGGATTATATTATAGCAGTATTTAATTTTATTTTATAAGAAAAAATTTTAAGTTGCTTATAAGATAAAGTATACCAATTTAGAAAAAAATTTTTAACCAAAAAAATTATCTACTTATTCTTGATAAACTCTTTAAATATTAATTTTAAAGCTATAGTTCTTAGGGAAATTATAGGTATCTCTGGTCAGAGATACTTAGCTTATGCATCTCTAGTCAAAACAATATCTGAGTAAATAATTTTAATCAAGTTAAGGTTTGGATTAGAGTTTGGGTTAAGGTTATAGCAAAGGGATGTATTATAAGTAAAATTGTCTTCTCGATATTTTTACTTAGTGCCCAACATAGGTTAAGATGTCCATTTTTTGTATTTTTCACTTTTTTTTATTTTTTTCATGTTTTTTTGTTGTTTTGCTTTGTCAGACTGATCTGGGAGAATTGTACTTTGTGTAACTGTTGTTCTATGCAAAAACATGCATCATGTGATATCTTTGCATTTTGATTAGCTATCAGGCCAAAGATGAATAAGCTAGGCATCTCTGGCCAGAAATGTCTAAAAGCACCCTAGTTCTTAATACAATATTTTAGTTTATATGAAGTATATTGATTGTAATGAAAAGTCATACTGTCAAGATGTTTGATTTGATTATGAATTGTACTAATCAATTCAGGTG